CCCACCGCGCACGTTCGTCTCAGGCTCCGCCCCCGGCGGGGGCGGGCGGGGCCCGTGGAGGCCCTGGAGGCCCCACTTCCAGGACACTGCCTACCACTTCCTCCCTGTGAGAACCCCTCGCTCCGTTCTGGCTCCCCTGCCTCAGCCTCTCGTGGTCATCCGCTAGGTACATCCCCCAGTGCACCCCCGTCGTCGATACTTTGAATCCATAAAAATGAGGCCAAGAACCTGGCTACTTCGCAAACTGCCAGGCGCGCCATGAAGGAAAGCGAGCGGGCACTACTGCCACGAGGATATGTATTGGGGAGGAGGGGGAACGGGTTCCTGGCGCGGCAAACCCTGAGGACCCGCCCTGCACACAGTAACTGCGTCAATGAGCCCTTCTGTTCTGCTTGACTCGGCCTCCACCCTCTGAGCCTTGGCTTTCCGGCCCGGAAAATGGGGGCGCAAAGGCCTCCCACGAGCTCGGGAGGGAATGGAGGAGGTGGCAGAGAGCGAATCACGGGTTGGGCGGATACATGCTAGGCTTTCCCGTTCCTTAGTATCCCCAGGGCACCCTTGCCTGGGCTGGCACCCGGTGCCGGTGTGAGCAGATCTGGGTGGTCAGAGCCCTTGGTTCATTTGGCCCTTGTTTCCTGAGACTTGGGCCTCTCCCAGGTGTGTGGGGCAGGAGGGGCCGCTGCATAATCCCCCAGGGCTGATTCTTCAAGGCTGGAGCCACTGTGTCCTCCTGTCCTGACGTGTCTGGGCTCTCAGGCACAGCTGCTTTTGACCCCTCCTCATTCAAGCTCCCTACTTCTGTTGTCTCCCAAGGAGTCTGCTGATGTCGTCACTGAAGTGCCCCCGACCCCTACCCCCAGTGTTCCGTGAGCAGTGTCACCTTGGCTCCCTTGGTTCTCCTAGCCACTGAGGAGGGATGCCATGGCCCATCTCAGGGTCTGGTGGGGCCAGACTGCAGACCCCATGACCCTGAACCACTGTGGGTGACTTGACCTCTCTGTGCATCAGCTTCTCCACATGTGAGAGGGAACATGGTGCTTTTAGTACAAGGCCAGGCAGACATGGTCTTTTCCCCTTCCTGTAAACTGAAGTTCAGAGAAGGTGAGCAGCAGAGCCAAGGTCAGGATGAGCAAGTTAGGTCCCATGAGCCACAACCCAGCTGCTGCTGGAAAGTAATTTCTTCACCCTGTAATCCCAGAGTGCCTGTTGTGTGCCAGGCCCTGTTCTAGGTTCTGGGGCTGCAGCAAGGGGCTTGTGGGTGGATGGGAGGTGGTGTGGGGCAGCCCTGCATGGGCCCAAGTGCTTCACTTCTCTTACAGCCGTAGGAAGCAGGCATTCCCGTTCAGGAAACTGAAGCACAGCTGGGGAGAGGCCCAGGAGGCAGAGCTCCAAACTCCTAGGGAGGTCGTATAGCTAACAGGTAGTGCCTTCACCCTAATGTCGGTGGGGCCAACAAGCAGGCATCCATGGATGCTGGAACCCAGTGCTGGCCTTGCCCATGATTGCTCTCCGCACTCCAGGCTGGGACCTGCTCCTCTGCCCCTGCCCATTGCTTCACCCTTGCTGTTGGAGCAGGGCTGGGAGGTGTTGTTTTGTAAGTGAAACTGATGGCATGGAAAATGCAAATCACCCTGGGGATTTACAAGGAAAGAAATCTTCCACTAAACCCTGATCAGGCCTCTCCCTGACCCACAGGTACATCCATGCCACCTGAGGGAGCCAAAACCCAACTGGCCCCTGTTGCTGTATGACAAGGCTGGTTTCTCCATCTGCTCACGGAGGCGTTTGGATCTGATTCCTCAGAGTTCTGTCCATCTCTAGGGGCCTTAGGTCCAGGATATGGGAGTTGCTTTGGGAGCTTGGCCTACCTACAGCCCTGAAGTGCCACAGCCTACAGCTCAGACTGCCAGGCCTGGTTGTGTGTAAGTGGCAGCAGAGTTGCTCCACCTACCGCAGCACTTTCCAGTGGTGCATTGGTTTTGCCCACACACAGTTGTCCCTTGAAGGAGGAGCCGCTGTTGGCTCACTTCACAGCTAAGGAAACAAGTGTAGAGAGGTGGTCACTTCCTCAGTCCTGCCTTAGCAGCTGCTGTGCGCAGGGACATGGCAATGCCTGGGTCTGGGCAGGTCTGGGTACGGCAGCCACTTATAGCAGCAGTTACTATTAATTCTCACATAACCCACACCTAACTATTCATGAGCAGCTGGAAATCCAGATTTTTAGACGTTGGCACCATTCATGCAAAAGCTCTTGCCCCTCCCCCGCCAAATGCGACCAACTCCTACCCTGGGAGCAGCACTGGCTCCTGAAGGGGCCAAGGTGAAGAGGACCAGAAGAGAGGGCCCTGAGGATGCAGGGAGAGGCCCCAGGTGGGGGACCGATGGGAGGTTATGGGGAGGAGAGGAACTGAGGAACTTCTGTATCTCTACCTGTCCTGCACTGGTCTCCATGGGTTTTTGAAGTAAAGCTCCAGGATGCCTGATCTCCCATCCTGAGAATGTCTGTCCTGTGGGCCTTAGGACAGCTCTGAGCTGAGGTTCATTATTCCTTCCATCCAAAAGTAGGAAGCTAGGAAAAGTTCTCACAGAGCAACTGGACATTTAGATCTGGGTTTGTCACCCTGCTCTGTACTGACTGTAGAGGCCTGGCAGGCCCTTGACCTTCCTGGGGTCTGGGTGTGGTCGGCCCTGGGCAGGGTCTTATCCTCCAAGCCTGCCAGCCTAATATGTGTCCTCAGGGAGGGACTTCCCATTTGCTGTGTCATCCTCATTTGCCTATGAAGGATCTGTTTCTCAGACTGTTCGCAGGATAGGCTGAAAGGGCCAGTCCACCATGTGTCCCCATGTCTACTTGGTTTTAAATTCTCCTGGAGAGAGACCCACATGAGAGTCCAAGGCTGGTTCCCAGTTCTCAGATACTGAACTGAGTGATGGTCCATAGGAAAGTGGCCATTGGGGAGTGTCCCAGAAGGGGAAGGCCAAGGCCAGCCAGCTGTGCTCTAGCAGAGAGACACAGGACAGGGAGGAGGGGACACCTGTATAATGAGCACATTCAGACACATGTAAATGAGCATGCACATGCAGCGTTGTGTCAAGTTCATGTGCACCTCTTGAGCTGTGTGACTGGGGAATGCTTCTTGTCTATAAAATGGGGCTGCCCAAAGATGAAGTGACCCGGTCTATGTGAGTGCAGTGGAGGCCTTGACCTCAGCTCCTTCCTCATGCTCCCATCTTTAGCAGGGGGCTTGATCCTGCTGACATGCCTGGAACAAGACCCAGGGTTGCAGCATCACTCTTGGTCAGGAGAGATGGGGTCCTGCCACACCCTCCTGCCCCTGTTATTCCCCTCCCCCAGTGACCCCAAGAGCTGGGGAAAAGCATTACCATGGGGAGAGTGCAGATGTGGCACCTCAGGCCTGGGAGAATCTGTGTTCAGACAGACCACATTTGTGAACAGGAGGCTTAGGAAGTGGCCAGGTCCCTGTATCTCTCCACCTCTGAAAGGCATGCATGGAGCAGGGATGAGTTGGAAGCTGGAAGGTAGCAAGGCCTGCCCTTGGGCCCCAGGCTGAGTGAGACAGGCCTATGCACAGTCCTGGCCCAGGAAGCTCTGCAGTAGTGGCTCTCCCTCTCCTCGGCCCAGGCTGGCCCAAACATGCTGACAGCCAGGGAGGGCGGCGAGCCTGGGACAAGGGATACTCCCTGGGAGCTGGTGGCTGCCCACTGGGTACCCACCGTGGGGGACTGTTACATGGCAGTGGGGTGGGCCCAGGGTTCTGCACTTCTGTCAAGTACTTTCAGGGACCACAGCTCCCACCAGGTGAGTGCACAGAGCATGAGATAGGGGAGGGCTGCCACCTCATTTCCAGAAAGATGGGAAGGAGGCCAGGTCTGTGAGGAGGTCCTGTGCCATCACCCCCACTTCAAAGACAGAAAGGGAGGCACTGCCAAGGTCATGTAGGCATGCCTGAGTCGAGCATGGCAACATGGAGTGGCACCCATGCAGGTGTACCACCTCACGTGGTCCCCCAGCAAGACTTGACATGCCCAAGGCCACACAGCAAGGTGCAGCTGACCCTCGAAGTTCCTCAACCCTGAAAACAAAGTGGGTGTTCTACCATGAGGGGAGCCACTGAATTATGCCCATTGCATTCTGGAATGTCACACAGCCACCATCAGTGTGGGTAAGAAAGCCAGCTGGCTTGGAGGGACCCACCTGGTACTGTGGAGAAAGAACAGTGAGGAGCCCCGATCCATTGTGCATCTGTTTCTCCCTAGGGTGGGGTGGGACTGACCCTATTTGTCATCCACAGGCATCTATGGTCAGCAAAACCCTTGTCCCCACCAGCCAAGGCAAAGGTGGCAGAGACAGTGGCACCCCCTCTGTTGATTTTCCCTTCCTCCCTTACAGTCCTGATTTTAGCTCAGCAAATGACTTCCCAGAATAGAAGCTGCATTTCCCAGCTTCTCCTGTAGCTGGGTGTGCCTGTGTGGCTACATCCAAATGACAGAAGGGAGTATGCAACATCAGGGAAGGGGTATGCTGTTCTTCATTACTTCCTTTTCCCTGCTGACTGAAATACAGGTGTAATGGCCAGAGAGCTCCAGCAGCTATGTTGGACCAGAAGTAGAACTTGGGTGTGGGAGTCTCACAGCAGAGTCAGAGACAGAGGAGTTTGTTTCCCCAAAGCTTGGAGCACTGAGCCCAAGCCCTCCCTAGGCTGTCTACCTCAAAACTTCAGAGTATGAGTAAGGAAAAAGGTCTATCTTGTTTTGAGGGTGCTATAATTTTTTTTCTGATACAGCTGATTTCAATCCTATTTTTATTTATGTTATATTTTTCATTACTAAATAGGTTTTCTTTTTAAAACAAAACAGATCGAAACACTTTCCCCTCTTCCTCAATCCTATTTAGAAAAAGTATATTAGATTATGGCACTGGCCAGC